CGTGGTGCGCCAACTCTCTCTCTCTCTCTCTCAACCATCACATGGAAGCACCGACTTACTTGACTGAATTAGTAGTGTTGAAAATCCGAATATCGTTGACGCTTAGTGCTGAGTGAAGTGCAGTGCAGTGTAGTAGATCTCCACACTGAACTCCACAGATTAATGAAGGGATGCCTGTCTTGCTGTCTTTCCGATGCTGGTTGGCTGACTTTGACATCCTCATTTGTACCTGTGACTGTGGCAGTGACTGTGCCGCCGTGTGTAGTTGAGACGATGCTGCCTAGATAGGTGTGTAGGTAGGTGGGTGGAGGAGACAACTTCATTTAGGTTTCTCCCGTTGATGGTGATTGATGCTTGTTGTTGTTATTGTTGTCTGGTTGAGTATCTTCATCACCTGTGTCTTCTCGACATTCACCTGAAGGAAGGTGCTGTCTTCGCTGCCCTGTCTCTTTTGTCAACTTGTTGGTATTCGCCTATAGATCTTCGAGAAGCGGATGGAGTTCACAAACATACCGTGCCCAGTATTTTTTAGGCTAGAAATAGAAATTTATTCTGTTTCACATGAAATCTTCGAAACCTAGCAAATTATGCATTATTGCATTTGTATATGGAAATTATAAACAGCCTTAGAGACAGATAAAGTTTGTATTTGTGTAAGTCACAGTGTATTGTGAAACGAAATGATTAGACTTCTGTGAGAAACGCTGAAATCATTTCATTTCAAATACGTTGTGACTTATACAAATACAAACTATATCTAATGTCAACCTTTTACTCAACGCCTGCCAATGTCTGTCATACTATTAGATCAAATTTTGATCTTAGTTCATATAAATCTTTAGAGACCTTATTTGCATGTCAAAAATAAAGAACAATCCATTCGCTTCTCATTGGTTGTTTCAAGGTTACCTAGGAGTAGCTTTATGGCGCTAGGATTTCGTTAGAACTGACTCATGCTAGTCGATGGTTGTTAGTTCGTCTTCAATGAATTCACTAGAGCTTTGCATCAAATCATTCATCGAAGGCAGGCAGAAATGAATTATGCTCTAAACGAGTAGTGGTCGTAGTAGTCTTGATTATTTTGTGGAAATTTGGTGTCGAATTTATGTAACTCATTTTAACACCAGAATTACAGAACCAAGTCATCTTACCTTTGTGGGATCTTGAAGAGAAGAGGAAATTTTGTAAACTTATTTAAATAAAATTGGTCCTGTTACCTGAAGCATACAAGATATGCATCATGAACACTTCTGTATGCATCAAGTCAAATTGGAATCAAACACGTAAGCCCTTATACTTGGATTATAGCCACAAAAGGAAGTCTGATTAAACAGATGACATTAAATTAGGTTTGTGTGTGTGTGTGTGTTGTATTTGCCAGCGCGTGTACACTGAATAACGGTGTTATCCGACCCAAGATTGAAAGGAGAGAAGAAACATCCACGCACGCACCTACACACACACTGCACACACACATACACACACATATTCACAAGCGTTTCCACTCTGTCAACGATCAACATAAAACATGACCTAGTACATAACCAACATTAATATACTTGAAACAACACAGAACACTTCACTTTGGTTGGTTAAGTTGATGACTCAGGTTTTGTAAATAGACAGAATTTGTTGATGATCAGGTTTTTGTCACATTATTATTACTACCACTATTGTTATTATCATTATTATCGCGATTAATAACAATTATTAAACCACATATTTAATAAAGTAATGACAACAAACCAGTAAGTTTATATATATATATATATATATATATATATATATATATATATATATATATATATATATAATATTTAATGTAAAACATGCATAAACGATTAAGGCCTAGTAAGGGAAGGAAGTAAGGTGAGAAAAAAGACCAATTCACAAAAGCGACAATAATAAGTGACCATATATTGATACCTTGATAAGATATATAGCGCAAAAACTTATTTATGGGTCGTTTTTCAATATGCAATGTTTGTTATCCGCAGGACCGATCAATAAATGATGCATATAAAAGAGTTCAGGAGACCTTAACAACGTGAACCATCATTTCTATAATGAATTCATCAAGTAAACATTTGAAGGAATTCACTTCACAAAGGAGGAGGAAGCTAACAATAAAATTCCATTCTAAGATGTCTTCATCAGGAGAATACACGACATGAACTTACAAACTCAAGTGTACAGGGAAACTAAACACACACGATCAACTTTTGCACTACAAACAGCAATCATCTTTCAGCGCATAAGAAATATGCACAAACAGTATCCTCAACAGTTAGAACACAGCAGCTCTGAAATACTAAGGAAATTAGAAGAAAAATACCAGTACAAAGTGTTCAGAGCCAATGACTATCCACTCAACTTCACCAAAAATGATTCTCAACAGGACGGAGTCATTACCTTGAATCAGTAGGCACGTTACGCTTCCCTATATTATAGAAATCCCAGAAATTGTCAGCCGACTACTTCATCCATTGGAAATTTCAGCAGCATACAAACCAACAAAGCCAGTACAGAGCATGCTGTGCAAAACGAAAGATTCGTTACCAAAGGAAGACAGCAAAAAAAAACATAATCTACGGAATCAGTTGCAAAGATTGTCCACAACATTATGTCGGCCAATGTAGCCGTCAGATTGCTCGAAGAATTCATGAACACCAGCTAGCAGTAAAGTAAGATGACACTGCCTCCTTGGTTTAAGTGCAAGTGGACAATCATGATCACAAATTTGACTGAAAGAATGTATAAGTCCTTTTAAAGCGCAGGTTTAAAAACTGCAAAGGAATTTTGAGAAGCATGGTATTTCAACGGAAAGTCAATCAAAAGACATGTGGATATAGACTCAATCTACAATCTACTTAGGAAGAAAACAGCCATGCATCTGCCAAGGAAGAATTAACTGAACAACTCAATAGTGATGCACAGTGTGACAGTAACAAAGGGCAGAAAATCACTCCAACAAAGATTCTCTACCAATATGACTTAAGGAATTTTAAGGTTAAAGAGGTCAAAATGTGGCAAAAATCGGTTTGCCAACTTACATCTGGACAACACTTAAGATCAATAAAAACACTATGTAAGCATTCTTGTAACATTCGAATACGCTTCACCATTTTTATGAAGTTGTAGTGCTGAAGTGAAGACAGGAGTAAGACAAGACAGGCTGCCTAATATCACCGATAATCTTACTGTTGTGTTCGACTGGACTGGATTGGACTGGACCATGCAACAAACTGTGAGGAGTGAGAAGATGGGCATACGCTGGTTGACGAATGAAAAGAACCCAGAAGAAGATTTGGATTTCGCCGATCATGATTTATGTTTAATATCGAACAAACTCGAATATCTACAGGCGAATACCAACAAGTTGACAAAAGAGACAGGGCAGCGAAGACAGCACCTTCCTTCAGGTGAATGTCGAGAAGACACAGGTGATGAAGATACTCAACCAGACAACAATAACAACAACAAGCATCAATCACCATCAACGGGAGAAACCTAAATGAAGTTGTCTCCTCCACCCACCTACCTACACACCTATCTAGGCAGCATCGTCTCAACTACACACGGCGGCACAGTCACTGCCACAGTCACAGGTACAAATGAGGATGTCAAAGTCAGCCAACCAGCATCGGAAAGACAGCAAGACAGGCATCCCTTCATTAATCTGTGGAGTTCAGTGTGGAGATCTACTACACTGCACTGCACTTCACTCAGCACTAAGCGTCAACGATATTCGGATTTTCAACACTACTAATTCAGTCAAGTAAGTCGGTGCTTCCATGTGATGGTTGAGAGAGAGAGAGAGAGAGTTGGCGCACCACGGAAAGCATTTCCAAGAAACTACACACATCATACATGAACAACTGCCACCCACACTCACTAAACACTGAGGATCAGATCAGATCAGATCAGATCAGATCAGATCAGATCAGATCAGATGGCCAGAATAATAAGAATAAGCAAGTAGGAACTCACTCTGGCTGCTCTGGCCTGGCCTGGCCTGGCATGACCTGGCAACCAACCAACCAACGAAGCAACAACCCATCTCCCAACAAATATGTTGGGGGGAGGACAGCGGAGATGGATAGTATGGGGGATACACTGGGAAGGTCGATTGGGGACATGACGGGACGGGGCATGGCCAGGTCGTCTATTGGGACCCTCATGTGCAACGATGAGTTGTATGTGTCAGGTGAGTGTGACATGTAGGAGATTGTGTGAGTAAGAAATGGAAGGTTGTGTGGAGTGTTGTAGCCAGGTATTGAAGACTGTCGAGAAGAGAAGAGAAGAGGAGAGAGTGGGATGGCGATGTGCTAGTGGATCTGTATGTTTTACTAGAAACCCAAGAGACAAATAAGCGAAATAAATCCGCTTGTCATTATTTCCAAATTACAGCCAAATTTAAAATTGATTTTGTCTATCGATAATGACTGATAGATTAGTAATCCAATTGAAATTAAAATGAGTATTATTAAGGCATAGAATCTTTGTTTAAATAAAAATGAAGATCGATAGGAAATGAATTGCATTTAAAGTTATGTAAATTTATCGAATACTTAAATGGAATATTGACTTGTGAATTTATGATGTATATACCTACTTTCTTAAGGTGCGTAAAGAAGATGTTTTGTTTTATTGACAATGGGAACTATTTCGAAATTTGCATACTCCTAATTGATTCGGTCGAAATCGTGAAATTACTACAAGGGTAAGAAGGCTAATATATTTGACTTTCAGTTATAATTATCGCTGAATGCATTGAAGGCTGACAACTTATTGGCTAAACATAGAAACATACAAATTTTGAATTCAATAGAAGGGATTCAGTAATGTTAAGCAACTACAACGGGTGTTTAGGTTAGCTTATATCGTTGACCTGGAAGTAATCTAGGGGCTAAAAATTATTTTTGATTCTAATCAGTTGCTTAGCTTATGTCTTATTAACATTTGCCTAAAGTTGTGAGAAATTATTTCATTTACTTTAGGTGATGTAATAACTATTGAAGTTGTTGGCTTATCAAATACTCTGAAGACAATCTGTGAAGAAGTTCTCTTGAAAACAAATCTTCCAGAATCTAGTAAATCTTCTATTCAAGTTATCACTGACCAATTGGAAACGACGCAAAGAATTAATCTGCTTAGTGGGTTGTACAAAATGCATATGAACGCTTGATTGAGATGAATAGTGTGAATATCGATTAACCATTCTGTTTGAATGATTTATCGATTGATGACTGTTATGCACTTTTGTATTTATTCCTGTATCATGTTATAGAATTTGTTATTATATGCTTGGTTTTTTTTGTTGTCGTGTATTTAAATGACCTATTCTTTTGTTTGTTTCTTCACCCATCAACTAGTTGTTTCATAAATCGACAAACTACTGTTTTCTTGATAAATGAATGAAGATAAAAGGCATTTGTCTCTTTACTGTTCTTTCTCGTCTAAATGATTAGTTTATTATGATTTGACAAGTCAAACAGGAAATTTGAAAGCCAGTATGAATATTGTTGGTTAGTTCTGATAAAGTTTAAAAGTAGTGTTGGGGGCACACACACAGTATGTTTAACGGTTTGATGTGATTTTAGGGCGACTCACTAGGATATATCTTGGAAGATTTAGATTTTGCGGATGACTTGTGTCTAATATCACACAAACTTGAAGAGTTACAGGCGAAAACTAACAAATTGACAGAAGAGGCAGGGCAGCGAAAACGGGACTTCAAGTGAATGTAGAGAAGACAGAAGTGATGAAGATACCCAACCAACACCACCACCACCACCAATAACAACAGCAACAAGCTCCAATCAACATCAACGGGAGAAACTTAGAGGAAGTAGTCTCTTTCACTTATCTAGGCAGCATCGTTTCAACTACACGCGGCACAGAGGGGGACGTCAAAGCCAGGATCGGTAAGACAGTTAGACAGGCTTTAATTAACCTGAAACCAGTGTGGAGATCTTCCGCACTCAGCATAAAGCATCAACAATATCCGTGTTTTCAACACCAACGTCAAGTCAGTGCTTCTATGTAATGGTTCAGAAACTTGGCGTGTTACGAAAGGGATTTCCAACAAACTACACTCATTCATCAACAGCTTCCGCCTAGGCTCGATACTGAAGCTCAGATGGATTGCCAGAAAGAATAAGCAACAAGGAACACTAGCTGGCTGGCTGGCTGGCTGGCTGGCAACGAACCAACCAAGAACCAATCACCCAACAGATATGCAGAAGACGAAAGTGGAGATGGATTGGGCATACACTGAGAAGACCGATTGGGGATATCACGAGTCAGGCGAGGCAGTCGAGTGGAATGCAAAGGTGAAGTGACGAGTTGGGCGTGCCGGTTGAGAGTGATATGGTGGAGTTGGTGTGAGGAATAAATGAGAGCTTGTGGGGAGTGGTGGAGCGAGGTTGAGAAGATTGTAGAGAACAGAGTGTAATGGAGGTGTGCTACTGAATCCCTATATTCCACTAGGAACCCAGAGGACAAATAATAAGTCAGTAGGGCATATTTGTCGCTACTTTGGTCAACGATTTTTATTAACGACCATGTGATAAGTAATAAAGGTAAACACTAACAAGAAAAATTAAGCTGCTTTGGAGGTTTGGATGTGTGCGTGTGTGTATTTATTGATTTCAGGTTGGTATTCACCAATGGTAACCTACTGGGTGCGGAACCTGAAGGTCCCAAGTACGATCCCTAGAGGGTGGTGGTGGTCATGGGTTTGCGCTGTTGAGGAGTCCCATACTAGGAGGAGACAGCTTTCTAGTGCTCCGCATTTCAAATAGTTCTCCAACTTGTGTCAGTCCATGATAAATACCAACCTGAAATCTGGTACTATGCAACAGTTACCCATTATTATTCGTGAATATTTTCCATTTCGAATATACTTCAAGTTAGGATCTTTTGATCACTTTAATTAACGTTACTGAATTTTGTAATAAAATGTAAACTTTCTCAATCCAAATCTCAGTAAAAGGCTTCACGTCAGCAAGTATTTTTTTAAGGTGGATTAAATTAGGCGGAAAATGACAGAGATTTAAGGATGAGCTAAGGTGGATACTTTCAGTAATACTCCATTGTGAAGCTTTCACTGTCTTTCTTGAACGAAGATAACCATAGTGTTCCGCTTAGTTTTCAGTACTTCTACAAAAATTATCGAATCCCCACCATATTGAAGAATGATAATGACAAAACAATTGAACTATACGCAAATCATAAAAACTGACAGTATTGGTTAGTTACTGAATTGGAACGTATTTCATGTTGCCTAGTCCCTAGCACTGAATGAACTCCGTCGATAACGTTTCTAATGCAGTTAGTGAGCTAAGAGACTAACTACCAGAGTGCACTTTGATTAACCCTAGGTGGTTGAAAGGGTTCATGCTTTGTATTTGTTGCCACTCTTCAGACAGGGGTATATACAAACTCGAAAGAACCTATACTTTTGCAGACGTTTGAACCCAGGTTGAGAAAAGTTTCAGTCAGAAATGTTACTATGACTTGAAAACTTTCCTACACACAACGATTATATACCGAGTAAAAAGGAAAATAACAAGTTAAATTATACCGCCATTTTGATACCGCATTCCTGGTTTCTATTAACAAAGTCACTTAACGCATAAAAGTATGCTTTTATGTATACTGAAGTTAATGAAGATTTTGTTTTTAAGGTGGCAGTCATCATGGACTGACATCATTTGAAGAACCATTTAAAACCTGGGAGCACTGGACAGCTGTTTCACCCTACTATGGCACTCCTCAGCAGTACGCATCCACGACCCCACAAGGACCTTCAGGTTTCATGGCGAATGCGTTAACCATTCAGCCAATGGGTTGGAGTTCAGAAGTTTATGGTCCCCTAATTCTGTCACTTCACGTTATAGAGCGACTGTCCACGGAAGTAGAAAACTGTGAACCAGCGAACGCCAACCGATTGACTGAATGTTTAACGCGTTCGCCATGAAACCTGAAGGTCCTGGGTTCGACCCCTTGTAGGGTCGTGGATGCGTACTGCTGAGGAGTGCCATACTAGGATGAAACAGCTGTCCAATACCCCAGGGTTTTCAATGGTACTCCAATTGATATCACTCCTTGGTGATTACCGCCTTAAAAGCATACTTTCATTTTATGCGAATAATTGTCGTTATCAACAATTTTTCGGTTTCAGGAATGAAAGTCAGTTAGTGGATATGGTTATTACTGTGTACTGACTGAGAGTATGGCCCCAGGTGTTGTGCATTTTCACAGTCACTGTGCATATGGACAACCAACTTTGTTTGAAATGGGAGCAAACGAGAAATGAGGATAATAATTAGAAAAACTAAGATACTTTAGCAGTTCATAAAGTTGCTACGTGTTGGCTTGAGCTAGTGTACAACATGGTAAGTGGTCTAAATAAGAAATTCAAGATGTCGGTCGGACGTTTTATGCAACTTGACTCAAAACTGCATGATTACTCACTCGTTGTCTGCTCATGTCCTATTTCTTCTAGTGATTCTGATATGTTGCTACTGTATAGCTCAGTAATTTGAACCAGGGTAATTAATATTTTCTGAGGTTATGTCTCTGTAGTGATTACAGAACTCTTATTTAGGTTGACGAAACCATAGTTGTGTGCAAAGTGTTTAGGAATTGTCCTGGTGCGAACCTGACTGACGCAAAGGCTAATCACTAATTATTCGGACTTGTTATATACCCACGAATACGAGACCAAGAAAGTACACGATAGCGTAGTCAGATGGAATAGTGTATTTGCAAGGTCATGCCAAGATACTGATGCGTTCCAACTAACTGGCTACAGAGTCGATTACGACCAGTGCAACGTAACACGACAGCGTTTCAAATGGCGAGGATGCTTGACTGGGTGTCTTCAGCTTAGCGAGTCCATTTAAACTATGAAGGTCAGCATCCATGTTGGATCTCTTCGAACCCTAGGCTATGGATTTTGGGGAAGTGTGTGACGCTACAAGTGGATTTGAACAATTTGAGAAGAACTGACAATAATATCACTTCGAAGACCACTTACGCTTCTTCAGTTCATTTTTCGAAGCCAATATTGTCATTTCGATGTGAACTGCTTGGCTTTCAAAATAAATCCGAAAAATTGGCATTCATTTCACCTACATGTAATTGGTAAATTATTTCTCATCTGTTCCTACATGATCTGTCTTCCCATCCATGTGATAAGGAGTCGAGGAGATGAATGGCCAGAATCCTTCTATTGTGATATGTGTAATGGCTTCAAATGATAGCAGATAATCAAATATGGTAAATTGTGCAGCCTACCTACGATGGTGAAGGTTTTATTCTCTTTTATGACACCACCTGATTCTGAAAAGTTTCATAGTAGTGTTGTTTGTTGGTTCATAGCTTTTGACTTTAGATGAACTGTATGCTAAGCGATATTTAGTTGTTTCACTGCAACCAGTCGAAGGAACTCATAGTAGACGATTTGCAATTCCATCCTACTCGATTAAACAGAAACGGACAAGACTGATCATGCAACTATACTGTATTACTGACAGAACTATCAAACTCTACTTGTACACCACGGTATTAAATTACTTGTAGTCAGAATCGAATGAGAATGAGGAGAACAAATCACTAGTCATGCTATAAGGTATATATAGGAAAGGAACACACTTGAGTACACCTTGCTGAAAGGGGAATTCTAACATTCAAGGAAATCTGAGTTCTGCTGATACAGATGTGTGTGGTCCAAAAGGGTAAATCACTTTTGAAGATTCCTTCTGACTTATTTTAAACGCCATGTTAGGCAAAATTGAACACTTCGTCACTGTAAGCCATTGAGTCACTCACTAAGAAATCCTGGTAGCTCAGTTTATATTGAAGTTAGTTTCAGTGACTTTGTCAAGAAAGTTTCACAAATAAATCATTCACCTCAAAGAATGCAACACAGCCAATGAGAATCTAATACTTAAAAAATGTAGATGAGAACCACTTAAATTGTTGCTGTAGTATGAGAAACAAAACGTTTTCCTCAGTGTGACCATCACACAAGCATGACTTGTTCTAGACCTAAGTGCAACGCCTGAATGATGGGGATTTACCTGTTTATGTCCAGATATGAGTTCGAGTTCATGAAGGGAATGGGGTTGTTCTGCATCTTAAAAATTGCTTCCAGATACGTTTTTAGTATACCATGGGATATAATGGTGGAAATTGTGAAGTGATCAGTTTCGAAACCAATCTCCAAGATTTATCGTCGGTGTGATTTATTGCAGTTCGATTTACCAATCTTGTGACTTCTTACTGGAATATCATGAGCATCATGAAGCAAATTCACTTGATGTGTCATCTTAGGAGACTTTGATGCATCTCCTGTAGATTGGGTTGGATTTTCCTTGCAAAGATCCAGTAATATGTTTGTCGGTAAGTTATTACAGACTG